CTGTAGCGCATTTCCTAAGCATAATAAGTGAAATGAAATGAAAAGAAATGAAAATACAATGTTAGTGCTTTGTATGTGCACCAATTTGGCTCCGCACACTAATACGGCCCCATAAAAAACGACCATAACAGGAACATGGATTTTTTAATCTGAACTCCATCACTAGAGAACCCGATTACAGACTGTGGTGGGTTACGAATTTATGTAGGAAGTACCTTTTACTCCAATTGCCGCGGATGAGTTTCCTTCAACTGATTTGTTGAGCAATCCCTGATCAATTCTTCCAGGTGTCGGGGTATTTCTGAAACAAAATTTTGAATTTTCTCCCCTCTCACTATGAACTTCGTATAAGGTACTGTGGAAACGCATCATCCACCTTGTATGAGCTTAGTCAACTCATTTACTGACTTATTACGAACCACCGCCCTTTTTTTCGACGTATTGGGCCGTCATGAAACATGGGAAAGTTGTTGTTGTATCACTGTCCACTATACTGCTGTCGCGCCCTCTGTAGGTAGGGTTTATATGTGCTAATTTGATCTTGCCCTATTGCCAACCCATCGCAAGCGTGATTCGACCTCTCCAAGTAATTCTTACATTGAGTTACTTGACAAACAAGCAAGCAAGTAAGCAAACAAACAAACAAACCCGAAATAGGGCGAAATGGCGACGGTTCGTTAATGCCCACAGGGAGAAGAACGAGGGAGTCGAAACTGTAATGAACGATCCATTGTATTTCTGGCTTTTTGGAAGGTCGTGTACCGAATCAATACTAGGAAGCTTCACAAAGGAGGAAATAGACTACATCAAAGAAGTTAACGAACGAGGAATTTGAAAGCGGGCTGCGAAATTCTCAACGGGGCAATTAAAGTACTGGTTTAATGCATAATTAATGCGGATTTTTTCAACAAGTTTTATTTTGAGGAACCATAAAGGTATCTAACGAAAATATGTACGATTAATTACTCCAGAGCAGAGCCACCACCTCGCCAAACATTGCTTCCCATTTGCTAGACAATTGGCAAATTCCAGGTCAATAAGTTTTCATTAGGGTATCCGGAAACTTTTGAGAAAATTTTGTCACTGGAATTTGAAAGCATGTTGCTCGCGAACGCGCTGTAGAAGGATTTCGATTCGATACCAGGGAAAAGGGCAATGTTGATAGATCAATACTATTACTGATCGTTATCTGACGTGGTCGTTCGAGGTAAGTAATCGTAGACCGAAAGATGTGTCATCGAAACGTCTACCAGAGCCTTCTGTTCACCATTACGAAACTGATTGCTTCAACACTCAGGCTTGGAATGAGATATGGTTAATGATTGGCAGCAGCGTCTCTGTTTTGTCACCTACCATAAATAGCACGATTGCTACCTCTGAGAAGTGAATTACTTCGAAGAAGTTTGCCGAAGCGAAGCCCACTGCCCTCAAGTACGGACACTGTACTGACATTCCGTCAGAGCAATCTTGTCTGAAGTAACAGGATTCGGGAACGACGATTTCTACTCCCCATTCCACCACCCATAATTTTCTTCGCAAAAATCATTTTCAAAGCAGGACACTTTGCAAATATCGCACTGAATGAGCAAGAGTGTCGAGTGCGAGTAAGCGTTTCTCAGAAGCTCCATCATCAACTATGACACTAACCGACTTCTTGATTACTCAGGATAAAAAGTAGATTTAATGTGAAATCTCACACAGAAAATCACAAGCCTACCAGTGGATGTGGGGTTACAACCCGCTCTCATTTTTCCTCTACTCAACAGGGTGTTTTACTATGAGATACTACCCGAGTGCACTGCGATAGAGGCAGGAGTATCCTGTTACCGAGTGAGAGGAACGATGTTCTGAGCCCCATGTCACATCAATTACAAGGAAGTTTTTAATTGTGATGAATAATGCTCGACTGCCCCACGCGAGGACGTCGGCGGATGAGCTGGAAAGTTTAGGTAGAATCTGGCTACCACGCTCCCAAAACATTCACCTGACCTCAATCCAATCGATTGTCATACTTTCAGAAGCTCATAATCCCGCTTTTCAGGGAAAAAATTCACCAACTGTCGAAAGTCACGTAGTTGGTAGATGAATGAATTGCGTCACGCCTCTCTTCATATTGGAGGAATGGCATCAATGCCCAGTTCGGTTGATAGAGAGACGAGGTGGCTAAGAAGGACCACTATCTTGATCACCGATCTGAGTTTATTGCTATAGTTATTTTGTCAGGGAAAAAACCAACTAAATGTTCTCAAAATTTTCCGGTCACCCTTACATTACATTATTGGAGGCAATCCACGCTTCATCATCGGCCATCGTCGTAAGCTCTGTTCGCTAGCTAATTGTTCAACGAATTATTGACGTGATAGTTCTCGGGAGTTGCAGATCCCATTTCATACTTGGCTTTCGCTGATTGTTCCATCGCCGAAAAGTTCGACGAGATCGCGAAATGACTCTGCCACCTTAACCTTACAACCTTTCTCGAAGTAGTAGACTAATGTGTCCAATATGAAGATGATTTTCGAGACGCATTTCTGTTGAGAAAAGCGAGAAGATTATTTCTATGAAAATCCCGAACACAAAATTCAAGTTATTCCGAGAGAAAATAGGCGCGAAAAAAATTGCAATAATTATGCATCAATCCAATATGTACAGTAGCGCTCAAAAGTATTCAGCCAAACGCTTCTTCTGTCGTACTCTCAGTGGTAACTCCTTTCTTACTGGATCTAATCATGCGAAATTTCAATATGTGAAGCATGAGTAAAGTCAATATTTAGCACTATTAATCTGCAATCTGATCATGTCCCGGATATCCCAAAAAGCTTGAAATAAAAATCAAGTAGAAGGACAGATATTGATGTTACTGGGATTTTTTCCTCTCTGCCATGTCCAAGGAGTACGAGCACTAATGCCAAACAGTAGAGAAGAGAAACGCACATAAGGTGCAAATAAATGCAGACGTCCCAAACTTGCTTTCAGCATTGTCTGCAAACGCCCTTCCCTCAGTTATGTATGTGGACATTGCTGCTTTGCAGTCAAATAGTGTTGGATATGGTGAAATATGCTTCATGGCCGAATACTTTTGAGCGCTACTGTATATGACGCTTCAGCGTTGCAAAGTTACTATTATGGAGAACGGAAGCGTGGAAAACGAGCCATGCGTTGTTATGTTTGATCGTATTAGTTCAGCTGAACATTGATATCTAAACATTCAAAGTGTGACGAATCTCGCTGTGGGCCAGTTGGATGCTGTGTCCTTGAGGTCGCTGGATTGCAGCAGAATGGATTTTTCCGAACGGGGGAGCAAAAAACATCCGAGATTGTTTACGGTTAAATATTTTCAAAGACCAATAATATATGCTGATGTCAAAGCTGCTGAGTGGGTGTGAATTTTCGATAACAGAATTAGGACATGCAAATAAAATTGGTTACAGCCAGGAGTGGTTGAAAGGACAGTAAATGTGACGCCAGGATTACTGTCCACCTAACCTTTCTTGGCTGTAGTCAACACTACTCAAGGAAAAGGGAGTTTGATCAGTTTCTCGGTTAGAATGTAGCTGGTGGGAACCACCGCACAATGCTCTACCTCTCCAGCGTCAATTGCTAGGGCCAAAATAGGTTTAAGCGCTGACTTTGCAGACCTGTGATGGTGTTAAAAAGAATTCTAAGCCAGGCAATGGAGTTTCTAGCCTAAACCTAAGTAGAGGAGGAAGATCGGAGCGAGTGGGATGGTGACTCCTGCGAAAAGTTGCAATGAAAGAAAAATTGGTCAGTGTGATTCTCTCTCACTGAGACGCGCAGTCTGAGCGCCACGAGTGGCCCCTCTAACCACATTTATACTCCATTCACAATAATATCGGTGTCTGAATGTCTGTATGGATGGAAATGTAGCCTGGGGTGCAAAAGGGGGTAAAGAGGCACCGTTTCTCTCCACCTTGAGCCTTAAGCACAAGAGCGCAGATGAGGATTGGTAGCCGACCTAACTTGTGCTTGGAGATGGTTTTCAGCCTTGGCAATACATCTAGTTTTTTGCTAACCCTCAAGAGGGGAGGAGCGCTGGGGTCAATGAGATTATTACTCCATGCAAAAAGTTGGGATGGGGTAAAAACTGAACATACAGTAAACTCACCAAACCTCCTCTTCCTCTGCGCTCTAGCGCTCAATGGTGGAAAAGAGCGGTGCTTCCTCTAGTGCAAACCACATTTTCATCCCTATAATCAGCTTTTACGGTTCATGCGACTATGGTAGCAATTTCATGTTCCACAAGGTATGGTAAACTCCGATTAGGAGAAAGTACTTGACGGGCGACCGTACGCCTTGAGCTAACCACTTTGTTTCTAAATTTCTCAGGGTATTCACCGAAAATATTTATTTGCAAGAAGACAAACAAGTCAGGAGATGTAGAAGAAACGAGAATCGTTGAAGACAAGTACATGGCGGAACGAATCATACGGCGAATGAATTTTTCATATGTTCACATATATTCCAGCTGAAAACGAACCAAAGCCTATTTTCTGTTCACAACTACCTCCGAAGAAAAGAAATCGGCAAGATGCCAAAACGAATCCTTAATATGGGATAATATTTAGAACCCACAGTAATGATACACGCAATAGAGAGAAACACAACACAACAGTTTAGGGAATGGCATTCGAATTGATCAGATCAGAAGGCAGAATGGAATGTNTTAAATCCAGTATTTATTCAAAAAGTGTTTTCCTGTGGATTTGGTGAGAATCACAATCGATTGATCGCTCAACGTATCGATCGTCAACATATAGATTTGGTCAATATTTCGATGAACACAACTTGTCACAACAAATGGCAACAACTCTAGAAACTCGTGCAACATAAACTGCCTTATCCAGATCAGAAAATCATCATAACTGTCTTCTCGCCAATGTCGCCATTGGATAGACGTTGATGATGCAACACGGGGGATTCTGGATGTATGGCGCAATGTTCGCCACAGCAAAGTGAAGAGATTGCCCGAACAGGAACGACTTTCAGGAGCACGTACATTTACGGGCTATCATACCAGGGACACGAGCCATCGTAACCTGGTTGTCACCGTTCATGTAAATCATACGTACCGCATCGTATCTGCAAAATAATCTAGATGTTATTCTAAATTTGTTTAAAAGCTGCTTAAAAGCTTTATGATAATAGTTTGAAAAAAAGTACGTGCAATCTGACTGTTTACGGGTTCCTAAGAAGCTTAGCCGATTACGGATTGCACACTACGCCCACATCAGTCGACGAGCTACTGAAGTATGCCATTGATTTTTTATAAATGTAATTCTTGAGGAAAGTCCAATATTTTGGGAGGCTGTGTGGTGCAAAATGAGCGCTATCGTACATAAGGTTCAGGGTTCGTATCCAGAAATGATCTTGGCTTGGGGCAGCCGAAGTCGAATGCGGGACGCATCCCTCAGACGGGATTGATCAACTCCCAAGGACTTTATCCTTCAGAACTACACTTGTACATTCGCGTATTTACTATTTTACCATTTTTAAATTGGGAATTCCCTAAATCTAGCTTTCCAACTGTCTAGAAAGTCATGAGATTCTTCTCTTGTTCTTGTTATCTGAAATTATTGCGCCGCGTACAGGAGGATGGGAGTTGTGGACAAAACTTCAGCCTTAGACAGGACTCGGACCCATACTTTGTGCTCTCCAGACACCGTGCTCTTTATCCCACTGCAAAATAGTGGCAGCAGTAGAGTAGGTGTTGTGGCAAAAAAATAGAAGTCGAAGGAAAAATTTAGGTGTTCCGGAACCCCAGCTGAATCACCGTGCAACCTCATAAGTGTATTTCGGTCTCATGACGTCTGCCAGTCTAATTAGTCGCTAACGATGAAATCTCCCAAGTCTCTCCACTTATTGTTAGTATCAGAAAACGGAATACGCGCTACTAATCACTATTCGTAATAGAATCTCATTAGGTTAATGGTGTTTTCGTGAAATGGACTATCATCCGTCCCAGAAAGTTAAAAGTGACTTGCTCGTCTTAGAAAATTTATAGAGGTTGCTTTTAGTTGAACAATTTCCTCCCAGCTGAATGGCAACTTTTGGCTCGTTCAGAAATCAGAGTGCAACTGTTGAAACCAATACGATAAACCCTCCCGATTGGAATTGTAGACTGTATAATATATTCAATTACAATTGCAATTACCAATACTAATCATAGGAATTAGATTAGCTAAAACATTAGTCACATTCTATGTATGCCTTTGTGAATCGTTCAGAAGACGGTATTTTGCATATGTAATGAATACAATTTCGAGACATTTAATTTATTCTATTAGCTCTATTGTAAGTTTTATAATTCTATCGAGGAGCAAATGTCCTACGATAACCGATTTGCTGACCATGAAATTCTCAACGGTCTTCTGAATTCTGATGGTTGAAGCGTGATACCGGGAACGGAAGGGTACAAGATGAAGGAGGGCATTGTCGATACGTTACCGGAGTTGGGAAGTTTTGATGACACTGATAAAGAACCCGAGCAACCCCAACATAGGCCTCAACCGCCGTTAACTGCGTCTCAAGAGCCTACGACTAATTCAAACATCACATAGATCCATTTTATCCCGATCATAGCACTTAGTAAACCTAATGGACCATAGGATTCCTGAAATTCTCAGAAGAACACTACCAGAAGGAAAGGCAAAAGCGATAGAAATGACTACTTTGACTTTGTACTCGTAACTCACCGAAAAAAAAAAGAAATCGGAAACTCTATTTAAGTCTTAGGAAGGGAGGAGCGATTACAATGAATACGCTGTCGCTGACAATGCGACTGCTTTTCCTGTTTTATTGTTTGACTGATGTGATTAATTCCTTTGATTCAGCTTTTCTGAATAGAATATTTTACATCTCATTTACTGCTTCAGTTTCTCTCTTACAAAATAATCTCTTAGTAGTGCGGTCTTGCCATCAAAGCAAATTATATGGTTTGTCAAGATGTAGAGTTGTACCCATGTAGTCATGTAGAATTTCATTTACGAAGTTCTATCATTTCTTAAAAGCACAGTTAAGGAAGATCTCCGAGACTCCTCCCTGACGTGGACCTATGGCGCCCACAGAAACATGTGAGAATTGCTAAAAACTATTATACAGGACGTTGTAAGGACTCTAAAACCGGCTCGGCAGACGTTTCACCCGAAAGGGTCCGCCTTATGTCGGCCCCCATTCACAATGAAGCGTTAAAACGCCGACAAATAGTGTGCCTACGAGAGAGACACCCAGACGGTTACAGACCATAACTTTGCCCAAGCCCCTTCCTTACTACTTATTTGGGGCCTTATATTTCAAAGATTTCGCCGAATTTCGAATTTTCTTCGACATTCCTGCTATGCTACACCATAACCTCCATTTCTCCACTAGAGCTAGATTCTTCAGATTTGTGTCTTCAGCACCCATCTCCAAGATTTGTGACCAGAACGACTTATAAATATAGATAGACATAAATTAAAAGATGGATATTCTGAGTGACTGTATGTGGTAAAAGACGTTATAACAGTGAAGAAGAGGAGACCTCAAAAACTGTCTCGCTTACTTGTAGGAAGTCATGCATGAGATACAAAATTTCAGCATCACATCACTGCAGGATAAAATCCTAAGAACAGGAGAACTAAGAAACGAATTGGCTATTTTCAGAAAGGAGGTTCAGAATAGGCCTGTCGATCAGGCTAATTATGTTTATCCATGGATTTTGAAAGGAAACTTACTCAGCGGGGTGACAGCACATTCCTTGGTTACCAGTGGCATCTTGCCTTGTGATAACTCCCGTCTTAGCCACCTTTGTGTGCCCTGATCGACTCACCTGAAATTTACAGTAATTCAGCGCTTCGCGACGGGATTTCCAATCACTGGGGTTCAAGAAGTAAAACTCACATGTGTATGATTTACCGTACAATCGCCTCTACACATATAGGCGTTGTACTTGTGAGGTGCGATGATGAATTTCCAGCCAATCTGTTGAAAATCAACCTGAAAAGGGGGTTCGTTGAAATTAATGAACCAACAGTAAACTGACAAAACATTGGAAGGGTCCAAATACTACGTACGATAAGATCATAGAGACAGCAGCCTAGTTCCTTGTCCTCTGGCATGCAAACAGATGGACTTCGCTTCCCTCGAGACTTCGCTTCCGATGCCAGCGTAACCGACATGAACATTGCCTGCAATATTCACTTTTAGCCATGCGATCCCAGGTAGTCAATCTATTTGTGACAAGCCTAATAAGCTTCCCATTTTATTCTCAGTTCCATATGTGAACTGAATATCGATTACATTTTTAGATCCATGGTGTGAAATTGGTAATTTCTAAGTTTTCAATAAATTTATATTGATTTTAGGGAGAGTGCATCCTCATTGCCAAGAAATCACTTCTTCCAATGTTATGACACATACCAAACACGTCATGTGTTTGTGAACACATCTCAGCGAATTTCAGATACTGTACTTGCACTTTGCAGTATTCTTTAGGTATAATTAGCCACCCTTTGCAGCGATTTATTGAGAAACATACCAATCATCTGCATGAGCAGGTATGTCTGGAGACTGACTGCACTTCAAATTAAAAATAGAAACTCCTAAAAGCTCCCCCACATTTAACTGTCAGCATTTTTGATATAGAGAAGTCAGGTACTGCTACAGCTTTAGCAAAAAATAAAAGCGGGGCCTAACAACACCTTACTTCTTGAAGGATAAAGGATAAAGTCTTCGGGCGTCGGATCATTCCCGTCAAATCAAATTCGTACGAGAATTGAATGACTATGTTACAATGAGTAGCGGTGGAAAGCCAATGTACAAGTCAGTGGTTTTATCCTACCACACCAATCTGATACCGATTAACTGATCCCGAAGGGATGAAAGGCTTGGTTGGCCTGGGCGGATATGATTAGGGATTCGAATCCTATTCGATATCCGCCCAGGCCAACCGAGTCCATGCTCGTGTTAAGATGCGCCACTTGCCACTACACCACCTCTGGCCACTACTTGCTACTTACAAGGGAAGGATCCCAAGTCGAAGTGGCCATTTGAAATGAAACCTACACTGCTAGACGTATTTTTTTGATGTTGATTTGAAAACAGCATTCGAAATCTGCCAAACGGTTCTCTGAAGGAAGTTATGAAGGTGGTCTCCGGAGGGTGCTCACCAGAGGGCAAGCACAAAAGGCATGGTCGCCGGTCCCCAAGAAGGGGCGGATAGGAGTAGAGGTAAGTGTGACCTTCATAGGTATAGGACCAAAGGAGGTGTTTGGTGGGTAACAGCGTTTTTGCATTTTGAATGACTTTTTCCTCCAGGTTGTATAAATCTTATTATATTATTAGTTTTACCGCCTTCAGCAACTTTTTAAATGCTTGAGGTGAAGCAGTTCCTGCCCAAACAGTCTTCTTCTCCGCAATAATATCTATCAGTTTTTGAAAAAGATGGAGGTTGTGGTCAGTTTTTTTAAAAGGTAAGGGTTGCAACGAGGCAAACGCGGCTATGTATGATATATATGGGTGGAAGTAACACTAAAGAACAAGGAGTATGACTTCCCAGAGCTAGTAGTGACGTACGTGTTGAAGAACTCCGATCCTGTCATGTCGAACGCGCCCCTACGAGGAAGGAACAGAAGGTGATAGATAGTTTCTCTTCTATCTTGCGAGAAGCCACTTACGAAGATCTCAATATTGAGTGCGAAGACTGTGTGATTGAGGACGAGGAGGCCTATTCAGTGTGGGAACCCGATGATAAAGAGGAAACAGCATGCACATCTAGAGGGTCGCTGATGTTTGGTAATGGGGAAATGTCCAAAGAGCAGCAACAAGTTCTCCTTCCCAAAACATTTATTAGATCGACATAAACCCTCATGATCTCAAAACTAGATGTCAGATGGTTCAAGCAGGAACGGTTCCACCTCTGCCATTCAAGAAGTTGCCGAAGGCGGTAAAACTAATATAAAAAGATTTTTACAACATGAAAGAAAAAGTCCTGCAAAATGCAATAACGCTACCGTCCACCAAACCCGATCCTTGGTCCTATACCTATAAAGCGTCACGCTCACCTCTATTCCAAGCGCCACTTCTTGGGTACCGCCAGCCATGTCTTTTGTGCCTGCCCCCTGTTGAGCGCTCTCCGGAGACCAATGCCATAACTTNAATGCTGATTTGAAATCAGCATCAAAAAAATACGTCTAGCAGTGTAGGTTTCAATTCAAATGGCCACATCGACGTGGGATCCTTCCCTTGTTAACTCAACTTTTATAGCAGTGCTAATCTGAGCGATATTGAAGAATTGCTCAACTGAAGTACGATAAACATATCCTCTTTTTTCGAGGCCCTTATGTTCAACAGCTGTTCTGCTTTTCTAATTTCCTTGAAATCCTGGAAAATTTAATCCTTTTTGGAGCCATACATCGACTCAAGGTGGTTCAGCTGTTGTTTACGTGAGAATTTCCCTACTTGCGAAATCAAGTACTTAGTACAAGGAAAGGAAAAGTACTACAGCTATCCAATCACTAGCACCGCTCCCTCACATCATAAATAACATCACCTCACATTACGTAAAATAAGGCGAGAACAAGAATGACGAATCATTTCCTGAGATTAGTGTCCCGGAGCTTTAATGTCCTCCTTCTGATTCCGATGGGTGGTTGAGTCAGCAAAACAGATAAGTATTATCGGGTGTTCTTAAGATTTGAATACTAAAATTAGAAGTATCACGCTGGCAGTTTGCTGTCTAAGAGCCTAACTAAGTCGTGACCATTTTTCAGGACGGAAAAACATCAAAAATTTGATCAAAAAATCGTGAAGTACCCAAAGAAGCCTCCGTGATTCTTGTCCTATCTCATCAGAATAGCATATATTACATACATAAATACTAATACGTAATGTCAACTAATCGGTTTTAGCATTTAAGCTGCTGAAGAAGTAATGACGTAGCGTTCTATTTTTATATTTTCATTATTTATATTTTACATGTAATTATTTCGGTGCTATTCTGTAGTTTCACATATCAGTTTCTTCAAATAACCTGGAAAAGCAGACTACTCAAAGAAGCTGACTTGACTTGAAGTTGAAATGCAGGGACAAATGTCTTAACGTCTAAGACTTGGGGTGTTAATCAATCCCGTCTGAAGGATGCGCCCATGCATTTGACTTCCATCTAGAATCGTAGTGGCGTACTGAATGCGTATGTGGCCTAAACAATGATTTGCGGTGGCCACCCGATGTACAAGTCAGTGCTTTTATCCTCCTAGACCAGTACGGTACCGATCTTGATGGCCTAGATGGATATCGTTCCTGGAATGTATGAAATGGAAACTCTCGATCCGCTGGGAGAGCTTTCGGTCTTGGAAGGAATCTAAAAAGCAGATGAAACCTTCAACAGATCGCTTAGATTGGAGATGCTCCCTTCAGTTCAAAACAAGTTCTCAATTCATCATCTGAACCAAAGCTCTCGAATTAACTGCACTTACTTTATTGCTCATTATAAACTCAAGAAATTAAGCAAAATAAATGATTATGAATCCCTAATCATATTGCATAATTGAATATTTGATTCACATAGCAACGACATAGTACACTTTTGCAGCCCCTTGAGAATGATTTCCAAAAACCGCAGCCCTGGGGTTTTGTCATGCAAAAAAGAGGATCACTTAACACCGCTACCAAAATCGTGATATTTGTACTCATCGAGATTGCTCAACGTTCTTCCTGGGATACTCTTTTTATTTATACAAGCCCCATTTTAGCAATCCAGCCGTTTTGTTCTCTCCAACCCCTGCACTATTCATTACGGTTATTCTTATTGTTACCTTTGCACATTTTCTACATAGATGCTGTTAGGAATTGTCTGACCAGGAAAGGATACCGAGTCGCAGTGGCCATTAAAGATAAGATGTATACCGAGGTAGGTAGTTTCGAACGCTGATCTCAAATCTGAATTCCAAATCTGCGAAACGGTGCTGGGAACAAAGTTACAGGTCCCCTCTACCCAGGTTTCTTGTAACTTTTTCGCTT